GGGCCCAGCATTCCCTCCTCTGACCACCCCCTCAGGGGAATTTCTTGCCTTGTGCCCCAGGAGACATGTTTGTAGCAATAAATGGAATGACCACAGATACATCAATAGGAAGATAGCAAAATTTCAGTCCAAACATAAAATTTAAGACTTCAGCACTAAAAATAGAAGGACAGTCACAGTTGAGAGACGACCCTTATTAATGCTGAGCCTGAGAAGACTCCATGCAGTACAGAACATTTAAAGCTGGAAAAACTAAATACCATTTATTATGGAGATATATACACTGATTATAAAATCTTTAGAGAGTCACAAGGGTGTAAGAAACACAAGACTCAGAACAGAGATTCCATCTGGGGGACAGGGCTGTGAGTGTCAATGCCAACAGGAGTCCCGCAGTGAGGTGGCTGAAGGACACTGTATTCACTGCAGACAGCTGGATGGTAACACAGCTCGTCAGCAAGACCCGCACGGCTGTGGGACAGCTGGGTGTGATACAGCAGGGCTGTACCCTCTCTGCCCATAGCGTCTCACCCAGTTGCTGTCAGGACGCTAAGGTGGTGTGTAGACCGAGCATAAGGTCCACATTTTTCTGACTGAAAATTGGTTTCCTGACACACGGGTTTTGAAGATGCTGAGTACGAAAACTGACATTTTAGCCAATATTTTTACATTCATAATGGACTAAATTTGAAAATTCTGAGAAAAAGCAAAGAATTATTTTAAAGGTATTATTGCTATGGAGCCCAGTCTTTAAATTGTTTGATCCAGCTACTATGTGTTCTCAATGTTGTTGCCACTTACTGTAGGGAACATTATTAATAAAGGCAACTCTAAGAAAAACTTACAAATATTGTAAGTTTTAGCCCACTTTGCCCAGGTAAGGCCCAAGGCACCTGAGAAAACCCAGCTAAGGTAATCCCCTTGACCCTCCCCTAGCCTCCCATACCCCGCAGTGTCTTGTGTCCATTGGTTATGCTCATATGCATGTATACAAGTCCTTTGGTTGATCTCTTACCCACCCACCCCCAACCCTCCCCAGCCTTCCTGCTGTAGTTTGACAGT